TCCTTTTAGCCCCAGCCACAAGTGACCTCTTTTGAAGTCATTATTCATTTGTCAGTAATAGGGTGGGTATCAGGAAAAGCATGGGGATAGCTGTTTCTATTGATCACATCCTGGAATTGTTCTACTAAATACTTGTTGGATGACTTTAGGTAAGGCATCTAATCTCTCTGTCTTGATTGCCACATTCACAACATTATATAAATATTATTCTGCATACATCATGGGATACTGGGAAGATAAAATGAGATAATTATACTGCATAAATACAAAGCAATATTATTTCCGTATTTTCTCTTCCCACTCTATTTTCATTTATTCATTCATTCATACACATTTTCAACAAATAATTGCTGACAGTCTACTTAATGTAAGATGAGGTATGAATATTTTCACCATGGCTCCTGCATCTAAGGTATTAACCAATGAATCATTTAGCACAACGTGCTTTATCTCTTGGGTTAATATGGGGTGTTGTTTGTGGAACCATAATGGTTGCTTCAACAGGAGTGTGAACTGTCCTGTTCACTAAAGGGGCTGCAACCAAGTGTGTGAGTCTACAGATGTCTATATTGCTTTTCTTGCTTAGGTATCATTTGGATTTTAATATTTACTGATATATAATATAGACAAATCAACTCAACCAAAGAAAGATGGGTCTATGTTACAGCAAAAGTGAACAAAACTTGAAAAAAGATTGGTTTATGCATGGGCTATTGAGAAAACATGAAATTGACATTAATGGACTAAGTAAAAAACAGCTTTCTTGGTGAAGAAACAGTAAAAAAATAACTTGCGTTCTGAAAGTTCTCTATTCTTTGGAGTTATAAGAAATCATTAATGGCTTTAAAGTTAGCTAACCAATCATCCTACAGGTGCAATGGCTCAAAGAGATTTTCCCATTTTGGAAAACTATCATTTCAGAAAAACATACAATGCTGAAACACAATTGCTATCATTTATGCCTGTTCTTGAAAAGCATAGGGGAGAAGAGAGACCTTTTTGCCAGGATCAGAAAGCCATTATTTATCTTTGCGATGGAATATATTTTGATGGAGGAAACTTTTGGAGGAAATTATGTTTCTGTGCAACACTGCTGGGTTGTGCAGGAAAATCACTGTAGAACAAGACTATAAAGTGTATATCTATAGTTTCCCTCTATTAAATGGGAATATCAAAGCATATAAAGAATATTGGTAACTTAAGCCTACCATAATTTTGCATCTGGTTTCTCAAATACCGTAATTCTGACGATTTAGAACCAATATTTGATAGAAAGGAAGAATTACTAACATCAAAGTCCTAGGATGTAAGGACACCAGCAGAGAAGCTTTGTCACTGCAAAATAACTCTGGCAGGGTGTAACAGATGACATAAACAGTAGGTAACTTCAATGGTTGTGTGTGGTTCAGTGAAGTTCTTTATATTAATTGAAGTATAACTTATAGCAATTCAAAGTAGCTCTGATATGCTGGAGAACAACCTAGTGGTTAGCTGTCGGCTATGGTGTGACTCCTTTTGAGCTAAGGTATCTTGCAGTCCTCAGAGCTTGTGGTCTATGCAGCCTCCACATTCATGCAAGGTTGAAGGACTGCTGTTGAAGCATGGATCATTCCAGCCCCATCCATACACATGGACCACTCTTTTTTGGCTTCTTGTACTGCAACAAAAAGAAAATAAGCACTAAATCTACAATGAGCAAATGTTAAAAGAGGAATGAAGCAACAGCGGAGCAGGTAGTAGAGCTAAAACTTTCTTGGCATAGGCACAAAGTTAGTTGCCTAATGTAGTTGTGAGATACATATCTATGAAAAACTGCTCATTTGTCAGTTTATTCCATTAAGGGAGAAGCAAAAAATAAGAAACATTTTAATACTGCTTAATAAAAGTAATTGATACTTATTTGGGACCAGGAAGTACATAAAGTCTTCGTGTGTTTATACCCACTTTACAGATTAAATAAAATTGAGGCAACAGAGTTGAACTTGTTCAAAATCTCACAGATATTAAGTGATAAAGCCAGAATTTGAAAACCAGAAAGTATAACTTCAGACATCATTTTCTTTGTGAATGCTTATATAAACAGCCTAGCCTTTTCCCCACAGAATTTAGCCTTTTCCTTTTCTTTATTGTTTCTTCACCAGAAAACTATCTTCTTTAATAACCTCTTTAAAAGTATAGTTGACTATAACTTAAAATACTGTGTATGACATCATAAAATTGGGGGTCCTCAACCATGTCCCCCCTTCCTCTTCCTCCTACCCTATCTCTCTCCCCTTTCCCCCCTTCCCCAAACTGCTCCACAACATCTTAGAATGTAAAAAATAATATTAATAAATTTAAAAAAGAAACAACCAAATACAATTCTCTGTGCTCTTCGTTCCATCTTCTCCCATCTCTTCAAGGAACTTAAACTATTTACTTTCCTTTCTATCACTTGTGCTGTAGTAGATTTGCTAAATACATTGCTCCCATGCCCACAGCCTCTTATGTGGGAAGGTGATTCACCCATGATCTTTGCAGAGCAGCAGCCAAATTTTGTACCATACAAACTCCTCTGCACGAACTGATTGGACCAGGCGGGCCTATATCTCAAAGGCAGCCAATTTACAGACTGCCCCGAGAATTAAGTCATGATCTGGCATGAAAAGATGAGCATGGCCTATGATCTTCTGAAAAAATTTTAAAGGCTGCTCACTGCTCTAAGAATGAGACACTCATTTTAAGTGAGACACTCATTATGACAAAATTTATAAAATGATCTTTGATGAATGACTTACCTGTGAAAGTCATTCATTTTAATGTTCAGAGGAAGTAAGTGTATACCATGTAATTGCCAGAGAGCTAAGCTTCTTAGTGCAGGAATAATAATAACATTGAACATTAAAATACCATTTATAGCAGCCTGTTGTATGGGTTTTAAATACATCATCTCTGACGGTCACAATAATCCTGCAATGTAGATTCTAAATTCCTAACTTTCAGATAAGTAAACTAAAGCTCAGAGAACTTAGGTAACTTCAAAAGGTCATTCAGGTAATGAGTGGCAGAGCTTAGAGTATGGATCCAAAGCTTATGTACTCCTTATACTTTTTATACTACATCTTGCTTCGTCCTAGCCAAAAACATGGAGGCATTGTTTACTTTTATTTTTATTATTGTTATCTCTGCAAGACATGAAAAAGAATTGGAGTTGGTTTATGTAAGTATATAAAATAGTATAAAAATTAACAAATGAGAAATTAGGGGAAGGAAAATAAAATCAAGCTGGGGCAAATTTAGCATATAAGAATGTGTGCCACAGGTCTTATAAGTAGTTTGTTTCATTAGGAAGAAGTGAATCATGCTTTTGGGATGACTTAGTTAGCTTTCAAGGACTCAAAAGTTTGGATATAAGAGGTGATCATTATTAAACACACATTAAGCCAAATATAGTGAGATGCACCTGGCCCAAATACTTGTTGACTGAACTTAGAAATATTATCAGGCACCTCAGCGTATAATGTGTAAGGGTTAGGAAGTCTATGAAAAAGGGGTGGCTATTCATTAAATACTAATTTGAGCAAAGTTCCATGAAAATCTCACTGACCATGAATATTCAGGCAATGACATTCTAGAAGAGGGCATATCAAAAAGAACATCTGTTGCCCTAAAGATGGAACCCTGCACATCTTAAAATTTTCAGCATTAGAATTGGAATCTATTCTTCACTTTACACCATTTTCTTCTCGGTTAACACTGAGAGGCACACCTCTCAAGAGGGCATATCAAAAAGAACATCTGTTGCCCTAAAGATGGAACCCTGCACATCTTAAAATTTTCAGCATTAGAACTGGAATCTATTCTTCACTTTACACCATTTTCTTCTCGGTTAACACTGAGAGGCACACCTCTCTGAACCAGAGAGACTTAACCAAAGAGAAAAGGAGTAAAGATGGTGATGGGCTTACCAAGAGCAATGTAACAGTGTATTTGAAGGGAAAGCTACATTTAAAAAACATGGTCCAAATTTTCTTGGATTTGGATCACCATGACTCCTTTATTGCTTACGCTTTTCCAAACTAACATATAAACAGGATTCAAGCAGAGAAAGCAAGGTATTCTTGGGATTTATAATTTGGGGGGCCAAAAATTCTGAGCAATAACCAAGGAAAAATGCTGCTGCTGATTTGCTTAAATAAACACATGGGAAGAGAGTATGGACCCAGAGTACTGATAGAGAGCATGTTTCCTTCACAGCAGATTAGCTCATACTTAATAATGGAGTAAACTTGCTGAGACATGACTCAATGCGCCCAAGTTAACAGGATAGCTATGTCTCTACTCTTCAAGGCTTTAGGATCAACAAGTACAGAACTTTTGGAAGCTGTCTCACTGATGTCTGTTCTGTGTTAGTTCTGCTAGTCCAGGTCGAGATTACACCAAAAGATAAGGACTTAAACTCCTGGAGAATCAAGCCTCTTTCCAAGTTCTTCTCTGCTTTGTATCCTGCTTATTTTCAAACTCGAACGGGAGAAAAAGCTTGGGCTTTAAAGCGGGATCCCGCAGCAAGGCCAGCGATCTGCATTTTCAACAACCGCCTCGGGTGAATTTGATGCACAGGTTCAGAAACTACACTTGGAAAAACACGGAATGGGGTAGGGATGGTGATACAAGAGTCATCTGTTAAAAGATACCCCGTTTCGGCAGCCTCGGAGGCTAAGGCTTAGTCTGCGCTTCAATCACACCCAAGAACATTAAAAACGCGGAGTAGTCGTTGAGCCTATCCCTGCGGCGCCAGCTAAGAGGAAACTCGCCCACGTTCCGGGGCAGCCGGCCCACGCTCCTCGGGGTCTTGCACTTGAACCACAGGCCTAACCGGACCGCCCGAGCTCGCCGCCGGAAGGGACGACCGTCCTCCGGCCGCCGTGGGCGACGCTCAGCCCAGGCAAGGCGCACAGGCCGGAAGCGCCCTCCAGGCCCGCCCCGCGCCCGCCGGAGCCGGAAGTCGGGCGACAGCAGCCGCACGGCGCCCTCCGCGAGCCGCCCCGCTATGCTGCGCGTCCCCAGCCGCCTCCTCGGGGCCTCCGTAGCACCCGCCGCGGCCCTGGCGGCGGCGCTTCTCTCGTCGCTCGCGCGCTGCTCTTTCCTGGAGCCGAGGGACCCGGTGGCCTCGGCGCTCAGCCCTTACTTCGGCACCAAGACTCGCTACGAGGATGTCAACCCCGGGCTGCTGTCGGACCCCGAGGCGCCGCGGCGGGACCCGGAGCTGCTGCAGGACACCTGCACCCCGGTGCAGCTGGTCGCCCTCATCCGCCACGGCACCCGCTACCCCACGGCCAAACAGATCCGTAAGCTGAGGCAGCTGCACGGGCTGCTGCAGGCCCGCGGGCCCGCGGGTGGCAAGGACGGCAGTGCCCGCGGCCGCCCTCTGGGCGCCGCGCTGGCGGACTGGCCGCTGTGGTACGCGGACTGGATGGACGGACAGCTGGTGGAGAAGGGACGGCAGGACATGCGACAGCTGGCACTGCGCCTAGCCTCGCTCTTCCCGGCCCTCTTCAGCCGCGAGAACTACGGTCGTTTGCGGCTCATCACCAGCTCCAAGCACCGCTGCGTGGACAGCGGCGCCGCCTTCCTGCAGGGGCTGTGGCAGCACTACCACCCTGGGTTGCCGCCGCCCGACGTCGCAGGTGACCGCCCGGGCCGCTGGCCCAGTGCCCTTGCCCTGGTCCTCTCCCCTGCCTCCTCCATACCCTGGACTCCCCAGCCCCAGCTTTTCCTCACCTCCCTCTGTTCCCAATCCTGCATCCCGGGGGCTGCGCGCTCCCCGGGCGCGGGGTGTTCGGGACTTGGCTGTCTCCCTTCTCCTCGTGCGTATGTTCGTTTATTCATTCATGAGGTATGAATTTAGTACCTACTAACCGGACATTGTAGGCGCGGTTGGGGATCCAACGGGAATGCAGACAGACGAGGTGTTTCCCGGAATTTTACTTCTTCCATTTCCAAATTGAACGGTCCCCTCCCAGACAGCTAGTTTTACAGTTGGGCACCCTTAAAGAGGATGCCTCTTTGTCCTTCTGTAGTTTGAGGACTAGAGTCAGACCCAGAATCCAGGTCTTGTTCAGAATGGTGCTTTTTCTCTCAGAAAATGTTTTGATAGTCAGAGGTAATGATGATAGCAAACACTTAATGCTTGCTGTGTGCCAAACATGCCTCACACTTATTTTACTAAATTCTTACAGCTGCTCTCAGATGTTGATAGTTTTTCACCCCATCTCACAGATGAAGAAATTGAGACACAAAAACCCTAAATAATTTGCCCAATTTCATACAGCTAGTTATGGATCCAGTAAATCTGATTTAGAGCTTGCTGTCTTAACCATTACACTGTACAGTTTCCATTTGTCCTGTAACATACCTGATGAGAATAAAAACGTGAAATGTTTTTGTGACAGTGATGAACAAGTGTTAATAGCTTCTGGATCAGTTTTAAGGTCAGAGTTGAAGTGGCCTTTTAGCTTCAAAGCCCCAGTGAAAAATAAATTAGGGGTAGACTGGTTTGTCATTTCTTCCTAACAGTTAAGCCATCTCCAATGGATTTCTCCCTTGACTGTGTGTCGTGTTATTGCTTTGTGGGTCACTTGGTTTGATGACTTGTGTTTAGTCACCTGTTGAATTGTGCTTTTTAATTATAGCTAGAGTTTTTCCATTAACGTGGGTGAAAATTCGCCATTTATCTATTACATTAACTGAATGTTGAAAGCAGAACATACACGGGTACTTCAAAAAGTTCAGGGAAAAATAGAATTAAAAGATCCTATGAATTTTTCCATGAACTTTTTCAAGTACCCTTGTACTTTCATATAGCACAGTATATATGCTGTACTGTTTTCTGGACCTCCGGGAATGCATGAATTTTTGCCCTCAGATGGCATTGTGAAGATTGGCATTTGCCTCAGAGTACAAACAGCAATCACAATAGCTCAGAATAAGCCCACCCCTCACCGTTTTCAGTCTCAGAGATTAAACCTTTTGCCTAGCCACTTTATTATTATCTATAGACAATTGTTTTGCTTGTTGTGTACATCTGGGCTTTTGGGAGAGGCCACTGAGTTAGATTTTGTATTTTTATAGCACCAGAACAATGCCTTTGTTTCTGTTTAAAGAGCAGCAGTAATTAGATGATAATAAGGCTGAAATAGACAGATCCACTTGGGAAGTCATATTTTGAGGCCACAGAAAAAGATGACAGAGTTCACTTATTTTCCTAGTCAAAATATTTTAAGAAATACAGTCCAATTGGCAATTAAAATGGGAAGAATTATCCATTTCAGGGGACACATTTACACGTACATATGTATATTTTTTCTTCACATACATCCAAAGCAAAACGGAATAACAATATTCAATTTTCCCATAATTTATATATAGAAATTATATACTTGGGTTTTTTTTAATGGTAAATTATTAGAGAAATGATTATTGAGATACATGTGTTTTGAATCTGACCAGAAAAACTTAAAAGGCACTCCAATAGTTGAAGCATGATTATGAATGCTTTTCCAATGCATATTTGTAGCCAAATTGGGGAAATAATGTAACTTATTAAATTCTAAATGGAAAGTTATCTGAGAGCATCAGTTAGACGATAAACTAAATCAGAAGCACCTAGCACAGGGTAGCACAGTGTAGCACAGTGTAGCACAGTAGACCTGAAACACTAATGTATTTTGTGCTGTTGTCAGTAGTTTTTGTCCAAAGCAGAATCTTTTGTAAAGTAACACAGGCCTGGAAAAGTCAATTGAGAAAATAAAATACTCTGTTTAGACTTTGGCTTAGAGTAAAAAAAACAGATTTGATCTGTTGAATTCTCTCTCACTGTGTAATCAGAAACTTCACTAATTTTTAGTTTGCTTTCTGAAGTTTTCTTTGCCTAACAGAAACAGTACTTATATAACACAGTTTTGTACATTTTAATTACTTTGCTGTCTAATTTTTGTTTTCTTTAGGAAAATAGTCATTTCAGTTACCTTCATTTCATTGTGTAGTATTGCTATAACACGTTTTGTCTTCAATGCTCTTTAGTCTTTCCTAGCATATTCTCTCATGCATTACAATAATTACAATTGCAGAATAATTTTACCCTGTGTCTTTTTTGATCATTTTGTCTTCAATGCTCTGTTTCTTTAGTCTTTCCTAGCATGTTCTCTCATGCATTACAATAATTACAATTGCAGAATAATTTTACCCTGTGTCTTTTTTGATCAATATGTGCTTAATATCAGACATGCTGATTAATAGGACATTAGTATTCTTTTTTCACACATGACAACATTTTCAGTAATTTGAAATTGTTATTTATGTCAGTGATTTACAAATATATATATGTAATTTTTTTTCCTTTCAGATATGGAGTGTGGACCTCCAAGGATTAATGATAAACTAATGAGGTTCTTTGATCATTGTGAGAAGTTTTTAGCTGAAGTGGAAAGGAATGCTACTGCTCTTTATCATGTAGAGGCCTTCAAAACTGGACCAGAAATGCAGAACATTTTAAAAAAAGTTGCAGCTACTTTACAGGTGCCACTAAATGATTTAAATGCAGGTAATGTGCCTATTATCTTTTATTTGGAGTTCAGCTTAAATAATTTTGCAGTGTGATAATAAAAATAACATAGAATTATTCCTTTTAAAAGTTCACAATTGAATTTACAGTAAGAAAATAATATACTCTAAGCCAAAATAATTGTACACTTCATGCTTACTATTTTTAGATTCATATTCTTCTTTGAATTTTATGTAAATCAATATATAAGATTCTTGCTATATTTTGCCTTTATTTTTTTTTTTTTGAGGTGGAGGTATGTAAAGCCTCAACTCTAAACATTTATGAAGCAAAAATTGTTTTTTTCTGACTTTCTTTTCATAAGTGATACACATGGAAAATCATATAAATTCTTTAGCTTTTGAAGCTGTTCAGAAGTACGTGTTGATGTGTGAAGGGAGTGTGTTTTAGAAAGTGAAAAGCAAAGTAGTATGTTTTTTGAAGCTTTTATATGTAGGGATGTTGAAAAATTAGCAGTCATGTCTGTCATTAGTTATTGCAGTGGATAGGCTAACCATGCAATTTAGTATCCAAATTGGGACACTTTTGAGAGTGAAAGAGGATACTATTAATGATTATGCTGGGAAAGCAGTTGGAAAACCGGCACACATGGTCACCTAGCAATGGGAAATTAAGAAAATAAGATTTTTTTTTCTGTATTCTAGGAATTTATAATCCGTAGAGCAGATGTTGACAAATATACATACAATAATTATGGATTTCATTATATTGTGAATCAGTTTTCAGAAGACTGGAAGTAGGAGATGTGGGGGAAAAAAGAAAGTAGGTTAGAATCTGTCAGTCATAGAACCTGGATGCTATATAAGGATCAAAAAAATGCAGATGCCTTAGAACAATATTTGAAATTAAATTTTTTCTCTTTCCTCAAACTGGCTGTACATTGGGGTCACCTGTGGACATTTAAAAATTATTTTATTGGGAAATAATCCAAATATGAAAATAAGATTAAAGGCCAATATAATGAACAGCATATACTCACAACTTAGTTTTATTGAATTTTAACATTGCACTTCAGTTAGTTGCTTTGAATAAATTGAGGTTCATTGGTCCCTCTCCTGGATCTCATTCTTCTCCTTTTCTTATCGAGAGATACCCATTGTCATGAATTGAGCATTTAAATCATCCCATGTCAGTTTTATTTTTTTTTTTTTAAAGATGACCGGTAAGGGGATCTTAACCCTTGACTTGGTGTTGTCAGCACCAGGCTCTCCCAAGTGAACTAACCGGCCATCCCTATATGGGATCCGAACCTGTGGCCTTGGTGTTATCAGCACCACACTCCCCCAAGTGAGCCACAGGCTGGCCCTCCACCTCAGTTTTTATATGCTTTTACATATAAGTGGGATATTGTTTTGCAGATTTTTAAACTTTTAAGAATGGTATCAAAGTATATATAAGAGAAATTTGATTTTTATGCAACTTTGTGTTTTTGATTCAATTTTTATAATTCTAGTCCTACATTTTGAACTTTTTTACAGAATTCCATCATATAACTACATCAGTATCTAGCCATTATTCTGGTAGTGGGCATTTAAATTGTTGAAGAAAGTTTTTTATAAACTATTTTTAGTCTCTGAATGAGCAAGGATTATTTGCATTTTACTGGTGGGGTAACTGAAAGCAAATTCTTTTTGTAGGCAGTATAAGCAGAGTGGTTGAAATCATGGATGCTGGAATTGGACCATTTATTTGAATCTTGGCTCTAGTATAATATTGATAGTAATTTCTGACAAGTTCCTTAATATCTCTATGGCAAAATTTTTATTCTCTGTTCTCAGAGGATTATTGCAAGGATTAGCTGAGATTTATTTATTTTTTATTTTTTTATTTTTTTTGTCCTTTTTGAGACCGGCCGCACCGCCCTCAGCCAGTGAGCGCTGTGAGCGCACTGGTCATCCCTATATAGGATCCGAACCCGTCCCAGCGCCGCACTCTCCCGAGTGCACCACGGGCTCGGCCCTACTGCTGAGATTAATTTGCACAAAGCTTTTAACATAGTGCCTGGTACAGTAATTGCTCAATTAATATTTTTGCTGTTGATATCCTTTTTTTTTTTTTTTTAACATAGAGGGATGATGCTGTATGTATTTTCTGGATTTATTATTTTTACTTAACAGTATATCTGACTATATAGATATGTCTCATTTTTCTGTTTAAAAAAATAATTTTTTTTGGTAGCTGGCTGGTATGGGGATCTGAACCCTTGACTCTGTAGTTTCATTTTTTAAAATTCTGTGTTATTTCATAGATATATGATTCAATTTATGGGTCAATGCTAGTTAAAATTTCTTTAACCCATCATCAAATTTTACTTCTTTAAGAAGAGGCTGGAGCTACTATAGCCCCATTTTTTTTTTAATAGGAAATCATTTTCCTATTGAAGCCTTTCTTAGTTTTTAACTCTGTCAAATGATGTTATAGTGAGCATTCTCTTAGTCCATTTTCCACACTTGAGAGTTTATAAGATAAATAACAATAGGTGAAACTTCTGGGATAATAATCATGAATATTTTACAACTTAACATTTACTTTCAAATTGTTCTCTGAATGTAGTAAAAATTTATATCAACAGTATATGAGAATGCTTATTTTCCAGTATTTCATCCAACACTGGCTATTATTAGTCATTTTAATTTTTGCCAACTTGATTAATGAAAAATGGTATCTGGCTTTAATTTGCATTTCTTTGATTATTTCTGAAAATGAAGATCTTTTTATATGTTTATTATCCATTTGCATTTATTCTGAAAATTGCTTCTTTATAATCTTGTCCATTTTCTATTGGGTTATTTTTACATTTTTCTTATTGGTCATAGGTACCCTTTATGTATTACAGATATATTAATTGTATATCTTTTAATTCTGCCTGACAAAGGATTAATCCTTTGTTTATTATATGTTGCTAATATATTCTCTTAATTTGTTGCTTATCTTTTAGGTTTGTTTATAGTATCTTTGTACCAAAGTTTATATCTTTTATATAGCCATGTCATCTCTTCATTATGCCTTCTGAGTATTGCATTTTGCCTAGGAATCCTCTGTTACCCCACGGTTTTTATATTTTCCTATTTCTTCCTTCATTTTATTATTTTTTTTAATGTTTAAATCTCTAATCTACCTGACATATTTCTTTTTTTTTTTTTTTTTTTTTTTTTTTAAAGATGACTGGTAAGGGGATCTTAGCCCTTGACTTGGTGTTGTCAGCACCACTCTCAGCCAGTGAGCAAACGGCCATCCCTATATGGGATCCGAACCCGGGGCCTTGGTGTTATCAGCACCACACTCTCCCGAGTGAGCCACGGGCCGGCCCGACCTGACATATTTCTGAGGATCCAAAAGATTGACCAAGAAGTCAGAAGAGTCATAATAGATGAGTCAGAGCCATAACTCATTAAGTAAAATAATTTGTTTGATCTCCTTATTTTGTAAGTGGGGAGCCTAGAGTGACTTGCCTAGGATACTTAGTGGCAGAGTCAGGTCTTCATCTCATGTTTTTTCTTCTTATACTTCAAGGAGTTTTTGGTGAATTTTTTTTCAGTTGACTTCCCTCCAGTTAAAGAATACACTATTTGGGCTGACTTGCATATTTCCAGAACTAGAACTTTGAGCGTAAACAAGCCAGTTCCTTTCATAAAACATACATGGTACTTGCAAGCCACTATAGTATATTAGGTATTGGGATTATAAAACCTTTCCTTTACATAAGCGAAGTTTATGAATAACTTTTATGTATATTCCCAGTGAAATACCTTTTTTATACTATATACTGCCTCGGGAATTCTTTCAACTAGTGCAAAAAAGCATGTAACATCAATTTATTTTTGTTGCTATTTTCCCATGGGAAAGAGGAAAGGTAGTAACATTAAAGAAAAATCAAAGCAATGGAGGCAGCCCCTGCAGTTCACTTCTTTTCTTTCTCTCTAGCATTAAATATCAGCTACTTGACTAAAGAGTAGCCGTGTTTTGTTTTGCTACTGACGAAGACTACCTTTTGTAGCCCAAGCATTCATTCCCTTATCCCTTCTCTTCAACACCCATGTGTATCGAAAAGTAATATAACCAGTGAATTAACAGTGTAAAAATCCCAGATAGCTTATACGGAAATCTACTTCTGAAATCGCTTGAGCAGCTAAGTTTGAAAAACTGTTGCTGTTACTAACCTTTCTCTCCCTCTTTAGTGTGTGATTTTTCCCTCTTTGTTCTTCTCCTTCTTGTCTTTCTTTCACCTTTCTCCTGTCCCCTCACTTATTCTGCCCTTTCTTCCCTCTCTACTACAGTCTTCTCTCCCCTTTTTATATCTTTCTCTACTTGCTTCTTCTCAGTACTTATAATATGGATTGTTGTACAGTTTTAAAATTGTTTAGTGAATGTACATACTTTGTTATTCCTAATTTTCAAGTTGGGGACTGCTGTGGATTGAATGTCCCACCAAACTCACTGAAGCTTAAATTGTGTCCCTTAAAGTTCCAGGTATTAGAAACTTGGCCCCCACTATGACAGTGTTAGGAGGGCGGGAAATTCTGTCATGGTAATTGAAAGGTGGGGCTCTGAAGAGGTACTTAGATTATAAAGACCATGCCCTAGTAAATGGATTAATAAATTGATGGCTTAATGGTGGTCATGGGCCTGGTTCTGAAGGCTTTAAAAGGAGAGAGTATGAGGGGCTATCTTCCTCTGCTCCACCATTCTGCCATGTGAGACCCCTGTGTCACTGTCACCACCACCAAGGCCTTCACCAGGTTTGTTCCCTGGACTTTGGACTTCCCAGCCTCTAAACTTATAAGCAATAAATATTGTTTCTTTCCAAATTACCCATTCCAGGTATTTTGTTATAAGCAACAGAAACAGACTAATGCAGGGACTGAAACCTTTTTAACTTTAGCTTCCCTTGCCTAACCCTCTAAAATGAACAAAATCAAGTTATGTTTTACATAGTAAGCCCTTGCGTTAAACTTTTTGTTGGGTTTGCTAGGCAAACATGCTCTTAACAAATAATTACTTTTAAAAGCAGAAAAAAGTTACAATTCACAGAGAGTTTCTTAGTTTCATTGGACTGAAATCTATACCTCCTCATGGTTTCTTCCTGATAGTTCCAGTTCTGCCCCTTTAGATTGTACAGAGCAAGTCTTAATTCTTTGATAGCCAGGAAGAAATTAAATAGTCTCATCTCCAAATGAAACATAACCAGTTTCTTCAGCTGTGCTGCACATGGCATTCTACAGATATTTAGCCTTTGAAAAATTACAGAAAATAATAACCCACAAAATTTTACTTTTTGTTTCTTCCAGATTTAATTCAGGTAGCTTTTTTCACCTGTTCATTTGACCTGGCAATTAAAGGTGTTAAATCTCCCTGGTGTGATGTTTTTGACATAGATGATGCAAAGGTAAGTATTACTTTTGCAGTTTCTTTGCTTTTTTGCTTTTTGTGTATATGGTTAGTTTTTTCTGTTTGTTTGTTTTTTGTATATTACTCAAAGCAGCTTTCCAGAAAATAAGCAGTTAGGAAACTGTCTTTGGATTAACTCCTAATTTTCCTTAAATAAAAAAACTTTAAGGGAGGCAAATTCTGGTTAACTCTGGGATATTGGGAGCTAGAGAGGTGGCATAAGAGAGTGCTGTTTTCTTAAGCATTGTTAAGTATGAGTCATTCAGGATTATGGACTTCTGAAACCTTAGTTATGTTTTTTTCCCTAGGAAGCAATCTGAGTAGGGAGAAAATGTCTTGGTAGACATTTGGTTTGTTTTCAGTTTGGGGCTGTCATGAACAATGTTGCTATGAACATTCTTGTATATGTCTATTTGGGGCACGTACATACCTGTTTCTGAAGGTATATGTCTGTGGTAGAATTGCTTGGTCATAGGGTATGTGTAATTTCAAATTTACTAGATAATGCCAAACTATTTTTGGAGCTGTTCTAGCTATGTTTGTCTTTCTGCTTCTTTTTCAAATCATATTTTCTGCTTTTGGCTTTTTTAGAAAAAAAAAGATTATTAAGTTTTTGGAATTCACTGTACTATGAGGATACTTCTTCAGAAAGTGCATGGAAAAATGAAATTAAAAGATAATACAAGTCTTTCCATGAACTTTTTGAAGACTCCTCATATGTTTGTTTAATCTCAGTTTTCTTCTGATCTTGGGTGAATATTCTTTTCTGGCTGATTATTTTATCATATATAAAAATGATAAAAAAAATATATATATACATAGCAATTTTTTTTTCCTTTAATGTTTACATAGATGCTGTTCAATATATTTTTTTTTAATTTATTACTCATCTTTGTGGTGAATTCATTTTAGCTTTTACTTCTATACAGCCAGCCACCAGAGATAAGCAACTATTCAGAGAGGAGCAGTATTCCTTCAAATTTAGAGTTATTCTCCTCTGAGATCCTTTCCAGAGGATCTGAAAAGATGGACTGTCAGTCTGATACCCTGTAGTGGTGTCACATACCATGAGGGGAGGCTCGCTTTAGACTTCATTCTCATTGTTTCAAGCAAAGGATTGTGGGTTTTGCTCCTGCAGGTGTACTGTGTACTTTGAAGATCTGTCTTGTGATTTTATCTGAGATGTTTTGTTTGATTTTACTGCATTTGGCAGTTCCTTCCTTATTTATAGTGCTAGTTCAGGGTACAGAAATCTCAGTTTCACTGAAGAAGGCATTTGCATTTCTGTTTTTCATTCTTCTTTTTTTAGGGTGATTTCTGAGAGAAGAGGGCAGATATATGTTGATTCTGTTTACTAAAAAAAAAAAAAACGATTAACATAGAGGTCAAAGAAAATAGCATTATTTGGAAAACAAAGAATTGCAGTTCAGGTACACTGAATCAGGGAAGCCCTGAATAATATTCCATAAGGCAAGCACAGGGAAGGCTTTTTATGTGGGATTTCCACAAAAGTTGTTCTTGAATGCAGTTCATTGGCTGGGCAGAAATCCTATTCCAGTTGGTAAGTCAATTAAGGTACTTCCAACTGAGAGGTGTTGAAAGCCAGCAGATACTGTGACTTCAGTTGTTATCCCAATCTGTTGAAACACCCTGTGGCTTGATCTTTAGCAGGCATGAGTGCAATCTTCTCACAGTCTCCCAACTCCACTTGAAAGCCTTAGCCTTAATTACTTCATTTTCTTTTTACAATTCCATCATCTTAAAATTGGAATTTTTGTTTATATTTTCTAATTAAGAACACTTCCCCCACAATTTATTGAGATATAATTGATCAGTAAAAACTGTGTGTATTTAAGTTGTGCAATGTGATGTTTTGATGTACATATACATTGGGAAATGATTACCACAATTGAGCTAATTAATGTATCCATTACCTCACACAGTTAACTTTTTTTTGTGGTGAGAACATTTCAGATCTACTCTCTTAGCAGATTTCCAGTATACATCACATTATTAACTATAGTCATCATGCTGTACATTAGGTCTCCAGAACTTACGCATCTTGCATAACTGAAAATTTGTACCCCTTGATCAACATCTCCCCATTTCCCCCACTCCCTAGACCCTGGCAACCACCATTCTGGTATCTGCTTTTATGAGTTCAACTTTTTTAGATTCCACATATCAGTGAGATCATGTAGTATTTGTCTTTCTGTGCCTGGCTTATTTCACGTAGCATAATGTCCTCCAGGTTCATCCATGTTGTGGCAAGTGGCAGAACCTCTTTTAAGGCTGGATAATATTCCATTGTGTGTGTGTGTGTGTGTATACTTCTTTTCTTTATCCATTCATTCATCGATGGACACTTAGGTTGTTTTCATCTCTTGGCTAGTGTGAATAATGCTATAATGAACATGGGAATGCAGATAACTCTTTAAGATACTAATTTCACTCCCTTTGGATATATACCCAGAAGTGGGATTGCTGGAATATATGATAGTTGTATTTTTAATTTTTTGAGGAACCTCCATACTGTTTTCCGTAACGGTTGTACCAATTTACATACTCATCAACAGTGTACAAGGGTTTCCTTTTCTTCATGTCTTTACCAACACTTGTTATGTTTTGTCTTTCTAATAATAGTCATTCTAACAGGTGTGAGGTGATATCTCATTGTAGTTTTGATTTTTATTTCTCTGATTAGTGATGTTGAGTACCTTTTTATATACCAGTTGTCCATTCATATGTCTTTTGGAGAAATGTCTATTTGGGTCCTTTGCCTATTTTTTAATTGGCTTGTTTGTTTTTTGCTATCAAGTTGTTGGAGTTTCATATATGTTTTGGATATCAATTCCTTATTTGATGTGTGGTTTACAAATATTTTGTCCCGTTCTGTAGGTTGTCTCTCTCTTCATTTTATTGATGGTTTCCTTTGCTGTGCAGAAGCTTTTTAGATTCATGCAATTCCACTGGTCTATTTTTGCTTTCGTTGCCTGTGCTTTGGGGGTTATTCTAATTAAGAACACTTCTAAGGTATCTTCATAAAATGAGACGTTTGGCATAGTCTCTGATAGTTATCCTTACCAAGCTTAGGAAATGTCTGTTTCTCACTTATTAAAATCTTCTATTTTGGGCCGGCCCGGTGGCGCACTGGATAGTGCACTGCTTGGGAAGCGCGGCGGCGCTCCCGCCCGAGGGTTTGGATCCCACATACAGACCGGTTCCCGCTCACTGGCTGAGCGAGGCGCGGGAGCAACGCCGAGGGTTGCAATCCCGTTGCGGCCCCGGTCCAGTATGGGGGCAACACTGAGGGTTGCGATCCGTTGCCGGACACGGAAAAAGACAAAAAAAAAAAAAAAAAAATCTTCTATTTTTTTGTTTTTAAAATCAGGAATGTGTACTGAAATTTTGGCATCTAGGAGGATTGTGGGTTTTTTTTTTTTTCTTCTTTACTCTTTTAACAGTGAATTACATTAATATATTTTCTAATATTGAATCATCCTTGCATTCCCTCTTTTTAAAGATACACATACCAGTCTTACTGTACCTTTAAACATGATTTAATGAATCTGAAAGAAAACAATACCAAATAAAATGCAGCAATATATTAAAAGTGTAATTGATATTGGTCATGCAATATCAGTTTTTTTTTAAAGATACTTTTTTTTATTGACCTATTTTTCTCCTTTATAGGTAACATTTTTGTTTTTTCATGTATTTCTAGTAATTTAGCAGATGCTGGCCGTTGTGAACTTTATGTTGTTGAATGCCTGGGTTTGTTGTCTTCTTTTAAAGAATGTTGAACTTTCTTGGTTTGCAATTAAGTTACTTATGGATCAGCTTGATTTTTTTGAGGCTTTTTTCAGAGTTTTATACTCTAGACCTGATCTTAAGAAACTCAGGATAAAGTAGGACCCTTCTGGACTCTTTACTGAATGCCCTGGATGATCAGCCAGCTTTCTCTACTTAGATTGCTTGGAACTTGAATAGCTCCCAGCCTTGTGTTAGTTGTGGAATTGTTCAGGTTACAGCTCCCCCAGTAACATTCAGCAACAGAATCAAGGATGTCTCACAGATACATGGAGCTCTTTTTCTGTGTAGCTTCCTCTTCACTGATACTTTGCCCTGCTAATGCCAGCCCCTGTAGGCTTCACAGACTCTGAGCTCTAACTCCTCAACTCAGCACGATTGGGATTCCTTTCACTATGCCACAGTCTGAAAGTACCTCCAATAGAAAGCTGGGACAATTGTAGGGTTTACTTTGTTTCTCTTCTCTCAGTGATTATAATTCAGTGCTTATTATGCAGTGTCAGTAAACATTGAGTTTATATATTTTGTCCTGTTTTCAAGTTATTTCTGGTGAGAAGACATGACCAATATCAGTTCTTCCATCATGGCAGATAGTACATCCTTTTAATGCTGCATTTTATTTGGTATTGTTCTCCTTAGATTCATTAAATCATGTTTAAGAATATAGTAAGATTGGTATGTGGCATTGGCCCTCATTTGTGGGTGGTACTATTGGCCCGTGTCCTACTCTTCTTCCTTTGGAGGCTTTAGAAATATAAGGGGATTGTATTCATCCATTTTTGTTGCTTATAACAAATACCTAGAACTGGGTGATTTATGAAGAAAACAAAATTTATTGCTTACAGTTTTAGAGGCTAGGAAGTCCAAAGTTCAGGGAGCACATCTGGTGAATTTTCATTGGTGGTGGCTTTACAGAAATGAAGGGGTCTCACATGGTGGAGCAGAGGGAGCACAGAGAAACTCACCTCCTCATTCAGTGTTCTTTTAAAGCCCTCAGTACCGAACCCTGACCACCATTTTTTATCCATTCACTATGGCTTGATCGTATAATCTAATCACCTCTTCAAGGCCCTACCTTTCAATTACTGTAATAGGATTTCCCACCCTCGACAGTTAAAGTGGGGATTAAGCTTCAGTAAGGTTGGGGGGGCATCCAGTCTACCGCAGGGATAGTTTTGTTTATAACAGTGACTAGGAGTCACAGTTGGCATTTAGTGGGTAAAGGAAAGGGATGCTGACTGTATTGCAGTGCAGTGATCTGTAATTTTCTCCCTTCACCCCTTTTCTTTGAGTTTTTTCTGTCTAGGTCTGGTAACAGGCTTCTACTAGCCTCCTTAAATGAGTTGAGAAGCTTTCCATCTTTTTCTGTGCCCTGGAATAGTTTAAATATTAGTAACTAACTCTTCCATGAAGCTTTGGTTGAACCCATGTTTAAAACTTACTATGCGTGGTATCATTTCGATAGACCTTTGATTGTTTAGTTATTTTGTATATTCAGATTTTTCTGAGTCAATTTGGATAACTTATACTTTCCTAGGAAAATCATCCATTTCATTTACATTTTCAGGGTTTTTTGATATAAAGTTTTAATAGTGTGCACATGAGATTTTTTAAAAAAATCTCCAGTTACCTTCTTTTTCATCTCTAATACTATATTTGTTTTATTTCTTGTATAGATTTAGCAGACTTTTATCTAATTCCTTTTTTACTTCCTTTTTTGTATATGTACTTTGTCTCTTTTGCTAACTTCTTGATTTAATTGCCTCTTCATTATATTTTTTATTTGTTTTTGGTATATGGCACTTGCCCACTTTTGTTCTATTATGACTTGCATTTAGTTTCTTTAGGAGCTCTTCTGGGAAGAAAGACTTGTAACTAGTGCATAGTCTTTTCTTGCACCTCTTTTGGATTTCAGGTTTTAGTCCTCTAGTTTTCGTGTCTACCTGACCAAATGATATATGAGCACAACATTTAACATTCAGATAAAGGCTATCTTCATCACTGCCTCCAATTCCGGACATCTCCACATGGGTTAATCACTGCTATCAGTTTGATGTGTATCTTTTAAGCCCTTTTCTATGCTTTTACTTATAACCTGTATCAGTCTTAAAAATGTAAAGAGTGTAATATATATGTGTGTGTTTTGGTAATAAATGGTACCGTATTTATTATTCTTAATCTGCTCTTTTCATTCAGCAGTGTGTCTTGGAGATCTTTCCATCTCAGTACATCTACAATACAGAACTTTTTAGTAACTGCAAAGTATTCCATAGTGTGTGTATATCATAGTTTATTTAACAATCTATTAGTGGAATTTGGGTATTTCCAGGAAGTTTTTCAGCTCCTATATGCAGTGCTGCTGTAAGACATTCTTGTACATTCTTTCTTGTGTTCTTCTGTAAATATTATCTTATAAGAAATGGAACTAAATGGGTCATAGAATATGTGTGTTCTCATGGATTTTTCCAGTTTGTTAGTATTTTTGCCAAACTGATACCCAAACCAAAGTAACTCATTTTCTTTTTAATTTTTAAAAAATTTTTAAAAGATGACCGGTAAGGGGATCTCAACCCTTGACTTGGTGTTGTTAGCACCATGCTCTCCGAAGTGAGCTAACCGGCCATCCCTATATAGGGATCCGAACCCGTGGCATCGGTGTTATCAGCACTGCACTCTCCTGAGTGAGCCACAGCCGGCCCCAAAATAACTCATTTTCTATTTGGTTTCTACCTTTCCAAAATTCTTAAAGCTTTCTGATCCACTGTTTATATCTTTCTGTCCTGTGATGGAGTTCTTCTATGTATGTCTTTTTGTTTCCTTTCTTTATATGTACCTTTGTTATCATCTTAATATAATTTTAGAGGAAAGGGAAAGTGTGAGCATATGTCCTTAGCCCACTCTCATGAATTGTCATGATGCTGGATTATTGGCTATGAGGACTTACTAAGGTGATCTTGCACGCCGGTCTACAGTCTCCTGGTCCAAATTTGTGATGTGACATTAGTCTCTATGTGTCATGGACCTTTGGAGCCAACTCTTAAATGCTTAAAGTAGAAAATAAAAACTCTGTGAATGCTAAAACTTTACTGTATTTAGTACAGAATGGTAATTAAACAATGTAACTTTTTCAGAGAGAATCATTATTAAGTTAGAGAATCTGTTGTGTTGATGAAAATGTATTAAAGTGATTTTTGAAATTTTGATTTTTAGGTATTAGAATATTTAAATGATCTGAAGCAGTATTGGAAAAGAGGATATGGATATACTATTAATAGTCGATCCAGCTGCACCCTGTTTCAGGATATCTTCCAGCACTTGGACAAAGCAGTTGAGCAGAAACAAAGGTAAAAACTTTTAAAAAGGTGAAGTACATTCTGAGTTTGTCAGCTTCTGGAAATGTTTTAGAATGGGTGGTTTTTAAAAATAGCTTTTGCTTGTGTTTTTTTTTTTTTTTTTTTTTTTTTTTTTTTTTTTTTTTTTTTT